GTTGGATGGATGGATGGATGGATGGATGGATGGATGGATGGATGGATGGATGGATGGATGGATAGATAGATAGATAGATAGATAGATAGATAGATAGATCTAGATAGATAGATAGATAGATAGATAGATAGATAGATAGATAGATCTAGATAGATAGATAGATAGATAGATAGATAGATAGATAGATAGATAGATAGATGATGGATGGATAGATAGATAGATAGATAGATAGATAGATAGATAGATAGATAGATAGATAGATAGATAGATAGATAGATAGATAGATAGATAGAGTTCAGACATGTTCTAATTGTACAGAAAACAACATGAAATAATAAAAAAAGAAGCAGAATACACACGTTTGGAAAAAGACAATATGCACATGCACAAGTTGGTAGGGAGTACTACATTCATGATTCATGAATACGACACATATACGACAAAACTCTAAAACTTATAACACAGAAAGCTCATGGAACGCAGCATCAGTTTGTGTCTGTTTGAACTCATCACTCTGGAATTATTCCATCTAAAAATCCTATGATAGGTTTATAGGATGATAGGAAGCTCTTTTAATCCCATCTGGGGATTAAAGAGTAAATATCTATAGGTTACATTCAGTACCTCTAAACTAACAGATAAGCTTCATTTTACTGATATGCTATAAATATCAAAATCTTTTTTTATGCCAATATTTTTTGAATAGTTGCATCTTATCATCTCTGATGTCCTGGAAACTTTCCAGAAATTGCAGACTTTAGTCATTATTGAGTGCATTTATTGTATTTTATTAAAGGTGTTGACGTACATTATAAGGAATGACCCACTCTTATTTCTGTTATGTTCAAATGTTGTCTCTGGTTTTTGTCATGCAGCTTTGAAATAAAACAAATAAATAGTAAGTTGTGCAAATCACTGTACAACAGAATCAGTCTGCTTTTGTTAGCGGTACGTCACACAATGTTGATGAAATAGACACAAAAAAACTGCTCTATAGCCCAGACATTCTTCATTTACACCTAATTCATATATCAGTTCAAATATATGTTCTTTCTGCTTTCTTTGGCTAACTTTGGCTTGTTTTTCCATTTCAGCTACATGTCAGTATATGTTTTTTAGCTAATTTCAGCTGTTTTTCATCAAGTTCTGCAGCTATAAGCATTCTCACTGCATTTTCTCAGGAAACTCAGTTTCTTTCATTTGAGTTGAGATTAATTGCTGCAGCCCCCTGACTCAAAATGGAAGAAGCGGGTAAAAGATAACGGATGGATAGTTGCTGCAGGAATTTTAGCTGAATTGACTCCTTTCTAGTTTTATTTTAAAACGATGATTATTGGTTTTGACCACACCAACAAAACAGTTTCCTACAAAAAGTGTGTCCAGTCACTGCCTGCGCCTCGTCTGTATTTTAAGCAGCGTGTTTCCTGACGGTGCTATTTTTATCCACAGTTATTGTCATCCTGGCTCTGCTGCTGCTCCTCGGAGGCCTGTACAGCATCTACGTCTACGCTTATCAGCAAAAGGGAAGTTACCTCACCAACGAACCCAAAAATCTGGAGTCTCCTAGCAGCTCCAGGCCTTTGACCGAGACCTTGCGGAGAGAGAAAAAGAGCTTTCCGGAAATTGAAGAGGAATTCAGGAGTGGCTGATCCTCCTGGACCAAAGGGACAATGGGTTTAACAAAAGTTGGGGGGAGTTAGCGCTTAGAAACAACAAACAGATGAATTTAGTAAGTTTTCTAATCATTTGGTTTTCTCAATTTCTTTCTAAACCTTTGTGTTCCTTATCACGGATGAGTGGCACACGAGGCCTGGTGCTTTGTTTTACCGTTTGTTTTGCTGGGTTCAAAGTTCAAATCAAGCCCCGAGTTGCAGAAGTCGCCAATAAGTCTCACGCTGTGCTGCAGGGTGAAATACTGAAGTGCCTCATCTGAGCAAGCTTGATCTGAAAGCAAACGAGCTTAATCAGAGAGTTCCAGTTGGACACTGTGGAAGGAAAAATAAGGTTAATTCAAACACTTCGAGGTATTAAGGCCGTTACGGATTGATTCGTTTTCTGAGCCATTTTTGAGATGAATGAAATTCATCCCATCGTTGTCTGTGTAGAATACTTGCCATCAAAAATCTATCTTTTATGGACAATCTCACATGAGCCATTTAAAAAAATCAAAAATAGTATTCCACCGTGGATTCGAATACTCAAAATCTATGGGTGCTGCTTAACGAAAACAGTGAAAAACCATCAAGACGTCTGGTGTTCGTGAGCAAAAACAACTACTGTATCTTTCGGACTATAAGGTGCACGTAAAATCCTTTAATTTTCTCCAAAATCAACAGTGAGCCTTATGATCCGGTGCGCCTCGTGTATTAACTCTGCTTGTGCGTTCTGACCTCGAACGTGGTACATGGCGCTAAAATATCTGTCAAAATGAACTTGTTTCGCTTCATGCACCTTAAAATCCGGTGCACCTTATAGTCCAAAAAATACAGTAACTGAAGACAGAGCTCGTAGACAAGCATGAAGCTTTATGCTTTAAAATGACACATTAAAAGATTGTAAAAGGTAGATTTGCTTTTTGCAGTACCACAGCCTATACTGGTGCATTACCTACACAGAATGGCTCTTGTAAGTGCTTCAGAATTGCCCTAGTGTCAATAGATAACAGCTTTTTCCAAGTAATGTGCTCAGATTTACGACATATTCCAAACCCTGGGGCTTCGGCAGTGACAATGTGATAATTTGAAGACACAGTACTTGAGACTGTGAGCTGGCTGCTTCCAAACTGTTGATGTAGTGCAGGATAAACAGAAACGACAAAGCGAACATTGTTCCAGGGACGAAGCGACCTGAGTAACTGATCGAACTTATTTTACAGTCAAGCTGCCATCAGCTTGGTGCTACAGAGTGTTTGACTCGCTCGAGACAGAATTACAATAAAAAATCTGTACTTCCACAATATTTCATCTTCCACAAAAACAAATTTCAGGGAACAGCTGCTCCCTGTGGCCATATGGGAAGCATAAACACATACATGATGACATATGTGCAGCGGACCACAATAAATATACCATTTTATTTCTGACACTGCTACAATATGTTGCTCATCACTAAAGGACTGTAGCTGAGCACTTGTCATTGCTGCTGCTTGGTTAGCTGCTATTATATGTAAAAAATAAAAATCTGGCTATAGTCCAATAGTTTTCTTTACTAGCAGAATAAACAGTGTGTGTACCAACTTAAACATGGAGTTATTGCAGCTCTTAACACTTTAGAAACTATTGTGTTTATGAGGAAAATGTTTCAGAATAAATACATTTGCAACATGCTAGCTATGCATATGTAGAGCATGAGCGCACTTTGCAGGAACATGCAATAATATAAGCTTCTTCCAGTCACTGACCATTTATTTGCCATTGTATAATAGAAACTGTATGGAGTGTACAAAGTGATTTTAATCCGTTCACTTCTGGTGTTTATACACAACAGGGGAGGGTTCTGAATGTACATTTTTGACGCTGTAATGTCTGAGACGCTCTGATGGTTCAACGGTGCGTCATGCAGCAAGAACCGTTCACGATAGCTTTTAGATCGCTCAGGATAAAGAAAGCACAGAACGTGCTCTCTGTGGTACCAGTACACCTCCAGAACATTGTTGGGCTTCTTCCATTACAGACAGGCAGGACTGTGCAACATGTCAACGGATGTACAGTAGATGCAAAAAATAAAAAAGCAGTTACTGTAAAGAAATGACCTGCTAATAATGTATGAACCTGTACAGATGTGAAGAAATGGCATTAACAGGATATATTTTTGGAAATGTGATTTATTGATGATTGACAACGAAAGGTGACAGAGTCAAACTACTGTTTGTGACACAAAGAATGTTTGTGGGCTTTTCAACATGGACAATCACACAAAAAAACTTAGGAGAACCAACTTGGATCAGATGTGCTTTGCTGCCCATTAGGAAAATAATAATCATGTTTCAATGTATTCATCTCACTGGATTTGTTGGACTGTAAAGTTTCTGCATAGCTGTCACATTATTGCATCCTTCACATGTGGTCCCTGGAGTGTGTTTGTGACTGACTGGATGTTTGTGCATTCATAACGTGCCCACCAAGATGCATCATCATAAATATAAATGTGCACTGCTGCCTGACTCAACCCACTTATTGTAGTGCACAGACTCCAAGGAGGATGTTCAGTGGAAGACGTGGCCAGAAGAGGGAGGTAGTCAGCTGGAGATCAGCTCTGACAGGACATTACGTCTTCAAACATGGGAATGTTGATTGATTTGGTAGAATTACTGGTCACAGGTAAATTACCTTTTTAAATCAAGCACATATTGGGTGTAATTCTAGACTTCGCTCTACAGAAACACAGATTACCTGCAAACGGAGTAATAAACACATAAACCCTGTCATCAGTGATGCAGACGAGGCCCAAACAGAAAGGCACCAAAGAAGCAGGCACGTTGGATCAAATCAGATTTCTCTGCACATCAAACAGCAACTGTCTGAAACAAGTACTAATAAAAAGAAACAACACGTTTTAAACATAGATATTCTGTTTGTTTTGTAATAGTTTCACTGTAAATGACCATTACTGTGTGAAGAAACTCTTTCATCTCAATAAAAGAAGCTTCAGAGATTTTTGCAGGTGTCATATCAGCCACTGTAATGTCATTAAACTAATAAAACAAGCTGCGCAACTTTTCCCTCAACAAAAAGTAGAACATTTGAAGTTCATTTATGCAAGTATACTTTAAGTTATCAAGTATACTACACCCATACTTGTAGTGTACTAGAAATTATACTGATTTAATACTTGTTTGGACTAAATTGGGACATTTTTATACTATTTTTAAGTATATCAAATAAAGTTTATAAAAAGTAAACTTCAAGTACACTTCCTCATTTTTAGTGTAAAATAAGTATACTTGTAGTACACTTAAATGGTTTGCTCAAATTGATGCATATATTGTTGTTAAATGAGAAAAATAAGCAAAATTTATGCAGAAATTAAAGATAGATCAAGTTATTCTGGATTGCATATCTAAAACGTACTGATTCAACTTTTTCAAACTGCACGACCATATTTTCTGGCGTATAAGTCGCAGTTTTTTTTGCGTAGACTTGTCAGTCCTGCGACTTATATACTTAGTTTTTTTTTACATATTCATAACGCAATTTTTGACTGATGCTTTAAATTTTTAAGAACTGCAACAGCGAATCCTCCCGTGCGCGCTCGCTTCACTCAGCTGGTGCAGGTGGAGGAACGCTGCAGAGCTGCGATGGATGGGGCCGCACCGTCCAGGTGAAATGAAGCGGTTTTGACCATTAAATAAATGCGACGGGTCAGAAGTGACTCATAATAAATGAGACTTATACTTTTTTTTTCCCTTGATGCTTTTTTTGACTGATGCGACTTATAAGTCGGAAAATACAATATTTGTTATAGATCAATAACATATTTTTCAGAATATAAGGCTTTTTCTCAAAAGCTGACAGTGACCCTTATGTATTAATTCTGGTTGAGCTTACGGACCTCGAACCGGTTTGATGTGGTTACTGTGAATGAGTTGAATAAAGTTTATCATTTTGTTTCGCTTAATGCGCCTTATAGTCTGAAAAATACGGCAACCTTTTGTTTGCGTTTGTTTACATAGTTTGCAATGAAAATCTTTAAGACAAGAACACAGACAGCATTTATATTGTATAAAGTTAGACCTTTATTTTTATGGGAATACACTGTACACAGCATTAAACTCGTATTTTATTCAGCTCCACAAGAAAGATCTCGTCTGAAAGTAGTTGGCTTTGATAAATGAGCAAGCGTACAATAATGTGGATTTGAAATGATACACATGAGGAATGACATGTTACACATGACGGCGACTTCATCGTCACGCACTGACAATTTTGCTTTTACTTTCATTATAATTGTGAAAAGAGACACATTAAACGAAGCTCCGGTAACCAAACAAAATCTAACATGCAAAATATGTAGCATTTTAATGAGGAATCGTTTGGCACTTTTTTTATTTTATTTTAAAGGAAGACACTTAATCTGTGGCTAGTTTATTTGCTATTTGTCTACAGATGTGACTGTTCACACGATGCTAAAAGTTGAATGCATACACATCGCTCTTCGTACCAATAACGAGATATAAAAGAAATGATGGATGGGATGTCTTCTTTGTCATCTACGAGTTACATTCAGTCAGTCGGTTCTCAACTAGTTGCCTTATTTTTTTAAATAATTGATGTAAATGCACAGAGTTACTTTGCACATTGATAAGGCGGCGCTGCAACGAATCAGAGAGAAACAAACCAGGCTGTTAAACCTGAACATATATATTTTTTCCGAGGACCAGTCAGAGCGTAACATCAACTAGAATATTGAATAATTGCACATCCGACTGAAGCTTATGCAGCGTTTAACGTGTTTAACTGGTTTGCCAACAGGCAGCTCATGCAGTTCACTGATCAACATTATGTCTGCTGTCAAAGCTCGCACAACGTACAGAGGTGGAAACAAAGCCAGTCTATAAGTACAGCAGCAAAGCTAAGCCAAGTCCACCTCCCTCTCTATCCCCACATACTTGAGGGCGTCGGCTTGGCTGTATCTGTGGGAGGAAACATCGAGTTAAAAAAGTGAAGATCAACACATCTTTAGAAACTTGTACAGAAGTCAGTCACAATATCCAGAGGCCTTGACTCCTTTTCTTCTTAACTTTACGTTTAAGTGGACGGAGAGTCACAAAAAGGCCCGTGACTCTACCTGTAGTCAAAGAAGAGCTCTTCTCCTTGCAGGATCGCTCGTTTGGCAAAGATTCCAATACGGTGATCTCCGTTGACCATCACAACTGAAACGGCAACAAACGTTAGCACCAGCCAACAGACGTCTGGAAGTTCTGAATTCGCCGAGCAAAACCGACTCACCTTTAGCATAACAGTTGGGATTAACGGAGTGATTTGCAAAGCGAATTTTGTTCCCCTTTCGAGTGGCATCTACTACAAAGTCTACGGAGACAAATTCAGGATTTTTAACTATTGCGTGTTTGGCTCATATCGCAGCAAGAAGCGAGAGGGAAAGTCTTACCGTTGTTCAAGTTGAAAAGAAAACTAGACATGTATTTGTCGTAGATCCTTCCACGTCGGTCCGCCTCGTCTTGGGAGATCAGCTGCTCGTAAAAAAGGAAAATGTAATTGTATGCATGTAATAAAAAAACCTGTGAATGACATAAAATGAGACTGAAGTGCACGGGCATGCCTCTCCGCAGTACTCCGAGATGAATTCATTCTTTTGAACAGGCTCTTTGATGAACGTTCCCCACCCAGCAACATCTGACGGAGCCAGTAATAAGTGCTGAAAGAAAAGCCAGATGTAAAAGATCACATTCCACCAACTTCCACAACGTCAGGATATCAGAGTGAAACATTTCAGAACAGTCCAAGTGCTCGGCGAACCTTTTTGAGGCCCCTCTGAATGCCGCAGTTCTTACAGGACACCACTTTGCTTTCCCAGTGTTCTGCAGCTCCGCAGGTCATGCACAGATCTGGGTCGCACTCCCTCACAGCCAGGTAGCAGGGACACTGTTTGGTGTTGCACTGGGTCTTACATCGGCAGCCCGGGAAGCGGTTCTGGCCTGGACAACATTCAGACACGAGGAAGACAACTGACGTTTACGAGCCAACTGTGCGCACCAATACAAAAATATATAGGGTTGTAAAAAGTATTCACTCCCTTTAAGAGATCAATTTTTTCTGCTTTTGCTTTTTTCACATTTAAAATGATCAGACAAACACGATTAAATACAAAATGCAGTTTTTTTAAATGAGTTCATTTATTTAGGGAAAATGCTATCCAACTCAACCCGGCCCCTGAAATGTAAATAGTCCTAGAGCAGGGCTCTGCAGCCCGCCGCTCTGGGGCCACATGCAGCTCTTTAGTCCCTCATCTGCGGCTCCAAGAAGCTTTGACCAAAACTTACAGGAAATGTAATTGTTCTGGTTTTCATACCCACAAAAATAAACAAAAAGCCTATTTTTGGCTGTTTTTTAAATTTATTTAATTTTTGTCAATTTTCTGCAAATGTTTAAGTGACACCACTAATTTTTATTTTTTTTGCTTTATTACTTCAAAGTGGGATACTTAATTTCTCCTCACATAAAAGGCCACGCAGGCCTGCAGAGTTCAGGGTTTTCATTTTCACCTGAAGGTAAATGGGCTGTACTTATAAAGCGCCTTTCTAACTTATTGAGATGCTCAAAGCTCTTTGCAACAATCTGTGCCTCATTTGAGAGCGGTCATTTCTAACCGGGCCTGAAGCCAGACCCGACCCGAATTTGGGCTGGGCCGGGTGGTGGATGGGCAGGCCGGGTCGGTGTCAGGCTTTTGATTGCGTCAGCTGACAATCCAATTATATGGCAACATGGTTCGCCATAAAATCCAATTATATGGCAACATGGCTTGCCATACCATCACCAGCCACATGCGGCCGTTTGACAGTGCGCTGACCAGCCTTGAAAGAGGTAAAAAAAATGTAAAAATCTCAATAAATGTTGAAATTCATTATTGATTACTAGTTTTAAAATGTCACCCCCACTGGTCAGAAAAGCCCCCCTCCAACTAGGTCAAAGTGGCCCATGGGCCACCAGTTGATCATCACGGTTGTAGCAGGTTTCGTGGCTCCGGGCTCCATTTTATTTAATGAGTGAAGGGCCAGAAATGGCTCTTTGATAAAAAGGTTGCAGACCGCTGCCCTGGACCAGAACCTGCTTGTGGCCGTGTCGGCCTGGATGTGTCTGATGAAACTGAACGGAGATTTCCAAAAATGTGATTCATTGAAGTTCAGTCACAGTTTTACAAGAGGAGCAGCAACTTGTTCGTAAAAGGCCAGGATGGTTTGGATGCCGTTTTTCTCTTAATAAATAAAATCAGCATTTGAAAACTGCATTTTGTGTTTACTACAGTTATCTTTGTCTGAGGCTAAATTTTGATTCCTGATCTGAAACATCAAAAATGTGACTCTAACAAGGTTAAGTCAGGTCCTCTGGATGGATTCTTCTTTGTTGTATCCAAAGGACTTCTTCAGTCTTCTTCACAGTCACTCTTAGATTTACCTAACATATTTTTTACTGTTTAAGTGGCAAAGTTTTGCATAAATTAGCATGTCATGTGACTTATACAACGAAGCGACGTGTTTATGTTTTTTACCATATTTATAACTAATTTTTGTCTGAGATCTGACGATTTCATTCATTTTGACATGGAAAATTCTGAACACTACCATTTTCAGCCGCTAGAGGGCGCTCGAGTAATATGGCAAGCCAAGTGTCTCATTAATAGGTAAAAGTGGCTATTAACGAGACACTTGACTTGCCATACAGCGCACCTTCGTTTCGCTCTGGAACTCCTGGAGCAAACGTCAAATCAGCTTCATTTCACCGCCCAGGAGAACTGCAGCTGATTTGACCATTAAAGAGCATTTATTAAGGAAAAGTTCAACTGAGATACATCTTTACTATAATGTTGAGCAAACAAACAATTGTTTTTAAGTGTTAATCTTGTTAAATTCTTGTTAAAGTCCTCCCGTGCACGCTCCTGTGGCTGGCAGCCAATGGTTTTTGGCACAACACCAGGCCACGTTTCCGGGTGGTCAGAGGTGACGTAAAATAGATGTTACTTATACGGCGAAGCGACGTATTTATGTTCCCCCACTTTATTAGACATTTTTGGACTGATGCGACGTGTACGGCGGCAAGTACGATACGTGGATTATTGAACTTGCATCCGGACATCAAAGTGTGACAAAAAATGATTCTGTAATGAAGTAAATAACTTTCACAGCACTTTAATGTGCCTTTTGACTCAGAAGGTCTCAAAGTATTAATATGAATCTCCTATTTTAAACTACAGTATGCTGAGAGAGTCATCTGTCACAGCTCTGCAGCTATTCTGTTGTACAGCGTTGAAGAGCGTAACACAACACCCTGAGGGCACATGAACTGAAAGCTCAAGCAAGAATAAGCTAAATGTCTTCCCAGAAGTGTCTACTTAGAGAAAATTGCCCCCAACAAGAGGTCCAGACAGTACTTTCCCCTCAGTGATGTTTTTAACCCCATTCACAGCCTCCATGGATTCTTGTGTCTGTATCATTAAGCTCCTTGAAGCTGGAAAGGTTTGACTCATACTGATGATGCTGCACGTCGGCCGCAGAGCCTGCAACATCGCTTTGATTTCTCTCCAAGCCTTTAAAGCACACACATGTTGAAATGGGGGCTGCTTCCTGTTTGGCCCGGGCTCTCCGCTGCTACGGGAAAAGGTGGGGATAATGAGGAGGAGGAGGAGGAGGAGGAGGAGGAGGAGGAGAGAAGGTGACTGGACCACAACACGAGAACAAATGAGGCAAATCTCTTCCAAAACAACAGAGAAATGTTTAAATGGTAAATGGTAAATGGAGCTTACTTCTATAGCGCCTTCCAGCCCCCTATGAGGGGCCCCAAGGCGCTTTACAGTACCAGCCATCCACCCATTCACACGCACATTCATACACCGGTGGCGGTAGGCTGCCATGCAAGGCGCCATCCAGTCCCACTGGGAGCAACTCGGGGTTAAGTGTCTTGCCCAGGGACACAACGGCACATGGTGTGGGAAGTCGGGATTCGAACCTCCAACCTTCCGATCAGAGGTCGGCTGCCACTACCACTGCACCACGGCCGTTATTCACTCTTGGTGAATTGATGGCTCTCCAGAGCGCAAAATGAAGTAAAAACATTTCTTCCTCACTATGGCTCTTTCAGAAAACACATCTGAGTCAGTCCTGTGGTTAAAGTTTCGATGCAGCTTTGTGATAAACAGACAACCACCTATTCCCACCAGAACACAACTTCTTCTCTGGCCGCTGCAGAAACATACTTCAGCCTGCAGCTCTGCTCCACTGTGAACCAGCAAAGGTGGTTTTTTTTACCAGTTCAGAACATTCAGAGAAAAATACCACCAGGGAAACAGACTGAATGTGAGATTTGTGACAGGTGAAATAAATAAAAGGTGACACTTACATTCGGGCTCACACTGGCAGAACTTCTCACAAAAATTCTGGGTCATCACACAAGGACAGGAGCTGTCGCAGGGGTGGTCCGGGTGGTCACATGGCTGATAGTTGTACACCTGATTGGACGAGTTATCTGGAGCAACACGGGACAAAGCCCTCAGAACAACACTGGAAGCTGAGCTGTGTTATGGACCAGGCTGCAGCAGGCAGGAGGTCATTTACCTTTCTTTAGCTGAATTTTTGCCCATAATCTGCAACATCAAGCAAGAATAATAAATAGGTTCATTTAGATCGTTTTAATTCCTTAAACTTACATTGATTGATAAATGAATACTATATATATATATATATATATATAAACAATAAGCAGGATCTTGCCTGTGCTTCCTTTTCTTCTTTTGGGGCGAGATGCCGCCATCTTCCAGAGGAACACGATGAATCAGAGCCTCTTTGACGGCAAACTCATACACCTGAGAAACGACAGCATCATTCCACAAATTCATCTCACACGTTTATGACAACAACAGTGTCCTTGTTGCAATTCACTTGTGCAATATTGTGAGAGCTGCGTAAGACACAAGTGTCACAGAACTTCCGGCTTCGCCTTCAAAACCACAGCGAGCAGGCCAGACACAAAACTGTGTCAGAGTACGCACGCACTGATGCACCTCTGGTGGCCAAAACCCAGATGTGGCCTCTTCCTCAAGCAGCAGACATAATGATGCAGCTGGTTTCTGCTTTTACACTGAGCAAATATCAAGTTTCTGTGCTGCAGAGCTATGGGAGTTCAGAAAACATTACTTTTTGGAGCCACATGTGTTGGGATTACAGAATATGCCTGCGATGGGTCCCCTTGTTACATGTCTACACAAGACACAACAAATTTTGTATCATTTACGGTTACATCTTCTCCAAGACCACCCTTATTGGGCCTTTCTGAGAACTTGCATCATGAGTAATTATGAGAAAAGTGGCGTCTGGTAAAGGGTCCCTGTTTCTGCTGCTGTCGGCTCTTCAGTCAACCCAATAATCCACGCCATACAACCACAAGCTCGTCATGCATGTGTCGTTATACTGACGCAAACTAAAGATCCAGTCAGCAACAAAAAATCTTTCAAAACAACTACGGCTCATTTTAAATCAGAAAAATCTGGCCACAGATGTCGATCCGTCCACCCAGACCTAGCGAGCCTCTTGGTCCTCGTGGGCAGCAGGACCACCTGAATCTTGGGCAGAACTCCTCCCCGAGCGATGGTCTCTCCTCCCAGCAGCTTGTTGAGCTCCTCATCATTGCAGACAGCTGCAGGTGTCGGAGGAGGATCCTGGTCTTCTTGTCGTCATGAGCCATCTTTCCTGCCAGCTCCAAGGATCTCAGCACTCCGTCACTCGAGCACCTCCATCAAGTAGACGGAGATGCATCCACGGTGCCTCCTTTACAACTCATTTGGGATTTGGGGCTGAATTTGAGGTAATATTTGAGCTTTGAGATGCCAATCAGCTGCTCCCGGTTGTAAAAAAACAACATAATCTTGTTGTCATGGTTACGCTTCATAACAAATGTCCAAAAGTAAAAAGTTTTCAGTAAAAAAAAAAAGAGGAAATAAAGTTTTCAAAAGCAACATCCCAGAGCAAAAGTAACAGCTACTCCAACATGCAGCCACCTTGAGCGGTGCAATTCTAGAACAGAAGATTATTCCTAGTGTGTTTTCTAAAACAAATTAAGCTTTTGTTAATGATAACATCTTAATTATTCTTTTTTTTAATTTGTAAAAACTACATTTTGTGTTCATTAACACCGAAAGGCGACGGCGGACAGTAATGCTTTAGAACATGTGCTTGAGTCTGTTACCCAAAGTATTTCTGGAACTTCTGGACAGATTTTAATGAAACTTGCAGAGAATCATCAGTTGATGTACATCTACAACTCAATAACTTTTGTGAGTCAATCCAATTCAAGATGGCTGCCACAGTCAACGGACCTTATAAAACACATAAACGGCTATGGCTCAGTCAAAATCACACGCATAGTTGTAAAATCTGGTGTGGTAGTAGCTGAGACTGATTCCCAACACAGAAGTTGAGTTCTAATAGACTGTACCACCATCACTTTTACCTGTTTGCAGTTCTTGGTGCCGATGAGACGAGCGATGGAGCAGAAGTTGTTGAAGTACGTGCCGTGCAGAACCCTGAACAGGGACTCCTCTGCGCCACTCCACTGGACCACACAGCATGCCTGCTGCTCCCCGTCATCCTCCCCTGGACGTAGCTTGGTGGGAGTCTGGCTGCGGGAATTCCCCTCTGATTTGCACCAAAACAAGACACACGCATGCAAAGATCGTTCAAGGTTAGTGGCCTTTTGTGGCAGCCATGATCTGCTCTTAACATAAGGGGTGCTCAAAGTTTGTTTTCTCAGTCATCCAGGTATATAACAACAAAAAAGGTTGAATCATGTCATCTGGACTTCGTTTTTTTGTTAAAAAGAAACGTTTCGCCCCTCATCCAAGAGGCTTCTGGGTAATACCAGATGGCTAGGCCTCAGACCGACGAAGCCTCTTGGATGAGGGGCGAAACGTTTCTTTTTAACAAAAAAACGAAGTCCAGATGACATAAGGGGTGCTGTTTGTAAAAGTTACACAGTCAAAAATTAACAGCAATATTTTGGTTTATTGAGCCTTTAACAAGAAAAAAAAAAGTTTTTTATCAAATTCACCATGTTATTCATACATTTATAAATGTCATAGTTCCAAAATAAATATTTAATTTACAAGCTAAATATTTAGTTTACAAATTAAATATTTAATTTCTAACTTAAAACATTTAATTCCTAAACCAAATATTTAATTTGTTAACTAAATATTTAGCTTGGATCTAAATATATATTTTACAAACTAAACATTTAATTTCCAAAAATATATATTTAATTTGCTAACTAAATATTTACCTCGGACCTAAATATTTAACTTGCTAGCTAAATGTTTAACATGCAAGTTAAACATTCAGGTCTGAGGTAAAAATTTAGTTAGCAAATTAAATATTTTCAGTTTCGGAATTAAATGTTTAGGTTAGAAATTAAATATTTAGTTTTGAACATAAATATTTAATTTATAACTGTGGGGGAGTGGTGGTGCAGAGGTTAGATGATGTGCTTGTGATCGGAAAGTCGCAGGTTCACCTCCCGGTACAATCAACATCAAAATGTGGGTGGAAGAGGTGAAGTACCCACACCTGCCTCCACCCTCATTCACCCCACTCTGGGCCCCCGAGCAAGGCACTCAACCCCCACCATCTGCTCCCTAAACAGGCCTCTCTTGAAAATGAGTACTCATGGCTCAATGAGACTAAATAAAAAAAACTAAATATTTAGTTTACTAACTAAATATTTAATTTGCAAGTTAAGTACTTAGTTTGTAAACTAAATATTTAGTTTGTAAACTAAATATTTAGTTTGTAAACTAAATATTTAGTTTGTAAACTAAATATTTAGTTGGGAACTATGACATTTATAAATGTATGAATAACATGGTGAAAATATGACTTGAAAAAACAAAAAAAAAAAACATTTTTTTCTTATTAAAGGCTAAATAAACCAAAATATTGCTATTTATTTTTGACTGTGTGACTACAAACGGCACCCCATACTTAACGCTGCACAAATGTACATACTGCTAATTAAAGAAACTCTTACATGTATATTATTAAGCGTACAGAGGGAATCACGCGCTTGGATTTTAAATTTTTGATGGTAGAGAAACGGATGCTCTTCTCAAGGCAGAAGGATGAATGTTGCTTGGCAACAGGCTGGACGGAGCACCGAAGTGGCCACATGCTCCAGCTTCTCATGCTCCTTAATAATCTGCGCACCAATCTGTTTTTCCACATCGTCACTGCACATGAGAGAAAGTCTGCCGAGTCACTGTCATTTTCAACACGGACTTTCAGAGTCACTAATGGCAACCTGAGAGTGCTGCTGTGCAGACGAGGAAATTAAAGGGCCCCTGGATTATTTATTCATTAATTTTTACTCTTTCTGCTCTGCACATAAAGATGTGTAGAAAATGCAGGAAGACGGTGTTTATGTAAAGGCTGAATCTTGTAGAAATAATGTTAGTTTATTATGTTTGGAGAGGAAACAGCTGATTTTGGGAGAAGATGTAAGAAGGGAACCCAAAACAAAAGAAAAAGACAGGATATGACTTGAAAGCATCATTTGCTGCCAGATTTTTTTCTCCTTGCAGACAGTTAGGCCAGACAGCACGGCAGAATGGGAGCGTTAAGTAAAGTTTAATGATGCATCTACTCACTGACTCAAAGTTTCATAAACACATAGAATATCAAAATATAAGGAGCGCATATAGTCGACACCTTTCATGCAACAATATTTGACTCGGACCATTTTGAGAAATGACAAACATATTGCAAGATGTCTTGCTCCAAGTATGTGCCGTGAACAACTTTACGATAGTACAACCAAATTTTAGCTCAATGGCTGTAAAACTGACTGAATTAAGAATTACCGTACTTGCTGCCGTACACGTCGCATCCGTCCAAATATGTCTAATAAAGTGGGAAAAAACATAAATACGTCGCTTCGCCGTGTAAGTCACATCTATTACGAACAAGAATTTAACAAGACTAACACTTTAAAACTATTATTTGTTGGCTCAAAATGATAGCAAAGGTTGAACTTTTCTTTAATAAATGCACGTGGACGGTCAAATCAGTTGCATTTAAAAGCTGATTCGTGGCTGCGGGAGCGTGCAGAGGGAGGACTCGCTGTGCATTTCTTCAAAATTTAACAAGACAACCAGCTAAAAAAGATTGTTTGCTCAACATTATTATAGTAAAGGCGTGTCTCAGTTGAACTTTTCCTTAATAAATGTACTTTAATGGTCAAATCAGCTGCATTTCACCGATTTGACGTTTGCTCCAGGAGATCCGGAGGGAAACGAAGCTGGCTTGGTATGGCAAGCCAAGTGTGTCACTAATAGCCACTTTTACCTATTAATGAGACACTTGGCTTGCCATATACGGGGGCCCTCTAGTGGCTGAAAATGGTAGTGTTCAGTATTTTCCATGTCAGAATGAATGAAATTGTCAGATCTCAGCCAACATTTGGGCTATGAATAAATAAATAAAAACATCGCTGTATAAGTCGCAGGGCATGATAATTTATGCAAAAAAACTGCGACTTATACAGCGACGTTTACGGTACAGCCATTATCATGTTTTCTAAAGTGACTGTGGCAGTCGGATGAGAACAAACCCATCAGCTGTGAGATGAGTGTCCTACCTGAGGAGGAGGTGGTTTCACGGTCACTGTCACCCTCCTTGCTGTCCTCAGCAGACCCAGTGGGTCCAGGACATCCAGAACTGGTGGGACGCTGCTGCCTCCGTCGCCTCCGAGACCTCTGCGACCGCAACGCATTCTGATCCAAGAACTCTTTCGCTCCTTGCTGTACAGACGAGCCAGCGATGGGAAACACATTCAAATATAAAAAGTGGTGCGGAGGACAAAAGGCACAGATTTGTTGTGTCGTACCTGTAACAGGAAACAGTCTTCACCACATGGTTCCGTCTCCATGCGGATCTCCTTACTCTTCCTCTTGTAAACATTTGGTGTAGCATGAAAAGCTTCATCAACAAAAAAGAAAAACACATCAGGGGTCTGCAACGTTCACGTTTAAGAGACTCAGATGTACCCAGTTGGTTTTTAGCTCGTGATTTGCTTCTTTTAGCTTTAATAGCTTGGTTCGGCTTCTTCAACAAATTTCTGCAAAGTCATTCAGTCTTGGTTTAATTCACACCTTTATTTTTATTTTGCCCAATAATCTGAGAAGCTAGCGGTATGTTTCTACAACGCTGGTTTTAACCTAAAAGGATGTAATTTTTGAGCAGAAGTGTCTTTATTGCTTTCAAAACTTTTAGAATACTTATTGCATTCACACTATTGTGATCCCGTTAATTGTTTAGAGAATGAACTGAGCTCATTTGACCTCCTTCACATCTTTAGATGTGTTTACAACCTTTTACTGCTCCTTTCACATTTTGTTCTGCTTCAGCTTCTTTCAGCTTCTTCTGCAAATTTTAAAAAATTCAGCTACTTTCAGCTGTTTTGTGCTCCTTTCAGATTCTTTCTGCTAACTACATTTTTGTGGTTCTTCTAACTTCTTTCTGCTAATTTCTGCATGTTTCAGCTTTCAGCTACTATTTAGCTGTTTTATGCTAATTTGAGCGTTTTCAGCGTATTCTATATTTTTTGCACTCATTTCAACTTTTTTCAGCCCAATTCAACAAAAATGTGCTCCACTCCACTTCTTTCTGCTTTTTTTTTAGCTACTATTGAGCCGTTTGTTTTGGTGCAAATTTATGCTTTTTTCAGAAAATTTCCACTTTTTGTGCTAATTTTAGCTTCATTAGGCCTAACTGGGCACAACTGGGCTCTTTCCACTTCCTTCTGGTGAGTTTATTTCAGTTTTTTTAGCTACTATTCAGCTGTTTTTATTTTGCTACCAGCAATTTCTGTTTTTTCCTCCATATTAATTTCCTCTTTTTTGTGCTAATTTCTGCTTTTTTCAGCCTAATTAGGCACAATTGTGCACTATCTACATCCTTCTGCGAATTTAAGCTTATGCTACCTTTTAAGCTGTTTTTAGCATTTGCACTAATTTCAGCAGTTTACAGATAAATTCAAAAATTTCATGGTAATTTCTGGTACTTTTAGACTAATTAACTTCTTACTGCTAATTTCAGCTTTGGTAATATTAATTATTTTAGTTTCAGCTATTTCAGCTACTATGTAGCTGTTTTTATGCTGTTAGTTTTTTCTTCATCTAATTCCATATTTTTAAGCTCCTTTGAGCTCTTTCTACTTCCTTCTAGGAGTTTAAGCTTCTTTTTGCCTTTTCAGCTTTTTTCAGCTATTTTTGCTAATTTCAGCTTTTTGAGCTAATTTACTAATTTTTGGGCTCATTTCTGTTTATTTAAAACAAATTCAGCAAATATGTGTTCTATGAGCTTTCTTCTGCTAACTTAGGCTTACTATTCCATTTCAGCTACTGATACATTTCAGCATGTTTACAGAAATTCAGCTGTTTTTCAGCTGTTTTTCAGCTGTTTTTCAGCAATAAGCATTCACAGTGAATTTTCAAACTAAATGTAATGTCTCTAGTTCCTACTGACATTTTTAAATAGGCTTCAAACATTTCTGAGTTTCATGTTATTTTTGTTGCTGTTATAAGGAGTAACTGCAGGGGGGGGGACCCCTACTCTAATTTAAAGCTTCTGATTTGTGCAATAATCCTGATGCATTCTCAAACGAAAACAAACAGGAAACAAGTTATTACGATGGAGGAAACAGTCGTATTTGAAGCAACGTCTGCAGAAGAGGGTGTGGAACGAGTGTAGCGACTGCTCCCTCTGAACAGACTTTGCAAAAGGTCCGTCTAGGTTGGGGGTGCAGAGGGGGGGCAGCTTCACCGGGCCTGGAGGCTCCAAGAGATCCTTGTACCTGTGGAGAGAAACATTTGGTAATCTCACTTCTCCAGGGAACAGCATTCGTTTGCTTATTGGAGAGTGATGGCGTCTACAGTTTCACTCAAAATCTGCATCGTGCACACGCTCCGAGTGTTTTAGCTCTTTCAGATGCTGATGCAACTACTTCTTTGAGTCGGAGAGCCTGAGAGGACGCTGCCATTATTCGTTTCCCCCCCGGCTGCTCAGGTCTCCATAGTGAACTCTGAGCAACAGCCTGATCAACATGGTGCACGTAGACCTCGTAGTTAACAGCACTTTGTCTTACTTTTCCTTCAGCTCCTCTGTTGAGCCTTTGTAGGGAAACATTGAGGCGATGGCTGTGAAAATCTTGTTGCTGGGAATCCTTTTGTTTCCGGACAAATCCCTCACTTTTGGAGAAACAAAGCAAGAACTGTTACAGATAAACAAAACAAGATTTGCACACACATCAGGTTTTGATACCGGTTTGCAAACAAAGATTACGCAACATGCGCTTTCAAGCATTTTGCAACAGCATGTTTCTCTCAAGGCCAGTCGGTGTTCTGAAAACACCTTTCTGTGAAAAGGAGAGAAACATGAGAGTTTTCAAACTTTGGCCACTGGTGAAATGAACTCGTCTTTGCTGCAACACGAGTTTGAGATGTGATCGCTGCACGACGGCGTGCAACCATTTCACCCCCACTAAGAGTTGGCAAAGTTTGCACACGGTTTACTTTCCCATAAATTCACGTGCAGGAGGTTGTGACCTTCTGTAATTTGAGTCAGGTCATGTCAGTGTCATGGACAAACAAGTTCCCTCAAACACGGTGGCTTTGTGGAGAAACGAGGGCAGCCTGAACGCAACAATGCCAGTTCCCGAGCTGCTGTGGCGCTGTGACCTTGTGGCAGCTGCACAGCGTCACAAGAACAACGTGCGTCTTGTTCACGCTGAAGAACTCTGAACTCAGACAGACACAAGTGAAAACTCACCCTCAACAGTGCTCCTCTTTTTCCTCCTGGTTAATGTTCCAGCTCTGCTCTCTTCTGAACCCTCCGCTGAACTCCTCCTCATCATCCTCTCTTCCTCTTTCTTCCCTGTAACCTCCACTGCTGCCTCCTCCTCTTCATCCTCATCCTCATGGTCAGAGTACTGGCTCAAGGCTTCCACTAGCTCCTTAAAGATCTCGTCGCTGATGAAGCCCCCCTCTGGGACACAATCAGCATGTCAGAACCTACAAACTCTTCAAACCTTCTTCTAAAACATCTGTTCAACATCACTGCTGTAATATTCACATGAAAACTCACAAATTACATTCTAAATATAAATGTTGTCAAAAACAAACTAATGCATATTAGACTAGTTGGCGTGAACATATTTACAGGGTTTTGGCACACACCTCTATCACCATGGACACCATCATAGTTGTCTATGAGCTCCTCCAGGAAGGCCTCATCCTGCTCAAGCACCTCGTCACCCATGTAAGGAATGTTGTGGAGGAACGTCTCATCCTCCACCTAGAACACAAACACCACAAAAAGTCACTTGTGACGCAGTCTGGTGCTGCAACAGACTGTTGGGTAACAAACTGTAAGTATTAAAAACAGACAAAATGCTTGCATGCTCCTGCTTATAGATGGACAACACTAAATATTAACCACACATACTGAAACAAGACAAGCGCACGCTGAGCTGAGTTGCAGAACAGTTCTTTTTTTTCTCAGTGTAAGATTCAGAAGATGAAAACTTGATATAATACATGGATGCATATCACCTGAGAAGGTTGAGTCAGGTCCTCTGGATGGATTCTTGTTTGTTGAAACATTTTTTTATCCAAAAGACTTCTTCAGTCTGTGATCTCGCATCAAGCTCTTCAAAAAGCACCTCATCATAGTGGATCAACCAGCTTGCTGCTGACAACCAGAACCAGCTACTCGCATGTAAAAGAGGACCATCAGTCTAACAGTGGATTGTTAGAGCCCTAACAGTTGGTTGTTCGTGTCCTGATAGCCGCTTGCTATTCACAGAGGGCTGATGATACTTGCAATAATAGCATTGTAGGAGGAGGGCAGTTGAACACAGAGACCCCCCCGCCCCTGTTTAATGATGGACCGGGTTTTTTTTTTTTTTTACAAAGATGGCTTCCTTTACTCATCTCTCCAACAATCCTCTCCATGTGTACATCCAGCCATCAGGTGAGAAGGAGGAACCCAGACCAGTGGTCATTCCATATGTTGAGGGAGTATCAGAGAAACTGAGACGTTTATTTTCTAAACATAACGTCCCAGTGGCTTTTAAACCCCAAAATACATTAAAGACTGGTTCATCCCAAAGATCCAGTCCCCCGGCACAAACAGAGCAATGTTGTGTATGCTGTTCAGTGTCAGGAGGGTGATCAGTCTTACATCAGGGAAACTAAACAGCCACTGGCCAAAAGGATGGACCAGCACAGGAGATCAACATCATCAGACCAGGACTCTGAGGTCTACACTCATCTCCAGGCCAGCGGTCACTCTCAGGGATGCACATTCTTGATAGAGAGGAACGATGGTTTGAGAGAGGAGTAAAGGAGGCCATCTTTGTTAATTGAACCTGTCCATCATGAAACAGGAGCGCGGGTCTCCGTGTCCAACTGTCCCCCTCTTACAATGCTGTTATTGCTAGTATCATTCAGCCCCCTGTGAATAGCAAGCAGCCATCAGAGCTAACGACCAATCGTTCTGCTGATGCTCCTCCTTTTGCATGTGAATAGCTGGTTGTGGCTGTCAGCAGCAAACTGATAACTGTTACTTTGATAAGGGGCTATTTATAAAACTGAGCTTGTTGCAAGATCTCGGACTGAAGAAGTCTTTTGGATAAAAGACCAAACGTTTCAACAAACAAGAATCCATCCAGAGGACCTGACTTAACCTTGTTAGGTTTTTCCACCTGGATTATTGATCAGCAATATTACCCACTGCCTTAATGCTAAAAGGTTTGGACTATGATCATCATATTATGATGGAAAGGGACGCATTTAAGGGCAATATTGGTCAAAACTAGGAAAATATTTTATGCAGTCTCTTGCGATATTGCAAGTTGATTTTGTGAATGACTCTCATACTAAAACATGAATTTTTATTTACATATCTGTAAAACTGATTGAGTTATGACCATTTTTTATGTTGGCTAATGTTGATTAGCTGTGGTAGCCGCCTCCCCATAACGTAAGCAGTTGAAGGTGATCCAATTATTACTTTCTGTTAGTGCAATTAAGACTCATTTGTTTAAAACTGAAGCAACACGAGTTACACAATGAACAACGTGCGCTTTACTCTGCGTCATCTACACTGTGGTTCCTCTCGTACCATGAAGTTGTGCTGCAGAGGTGACCACGAGTACATGAAGGGGATCCCTGCCACCGTTGACAGCGGTTTCATGGCAACGGCTTGAGGTTTGAATCCTGGGAAACCAAACTCCACGGAACACATCTAAAAGAGAAGCAGAGGTGGTCTGGGGTTAACCTCCGCTGCATGGCCGGACACTTTTCGAACATCAACATCCTCCTCCTGCAACCTGCTTTTCAAAACCAGGGAACTCACCTTTTTATTGGCCTGAGCTCCAGTTGAACCAGAGATGGACTGAATCCTCAGCTTGGACCACTCTGTGTTCAGGACATTTGTCTGCTGCTCAATCTTTTGCCTGTTGGACATGAACAGGGTCTGAAAACAAACAAAAATGCAAAGTCACAAAACGGCAACAGCACACGCCCAGCGCGCAAAATGATTCAACGGTACTCATTTCAAACTATGGAATCAAACAAAACGTTGTTACCCTAAACTATAAAGGTATATATTTTCCTCCAGTAGTTTTCCAGATGTCTTGATTTGCAAATGTGAAATGTGGGCATGCACTCAGTGTCAACAAAGCATTTTTATCTGCACGTTATTCAACAAATCTGATTGTAAATTCATGACACATTGAATTTGTCAGACACCTTTCTTCCAAATGTTTCTTCCATGGACATTGCCATAGTTGAGCTATTTTCAGTCATTTTGGCTGTTCCCAGAGGTAAACAAGTGCATGTGGTAGTTGATCATAAATGTTTGCTTTTAGGACGCATTAACCACCAATATGATATAAAACTATTGTCTGAATTTATATGTCACTAGTCTCCATGACTTTGCTATGAGCGCCTTTAATGCGTCAGTAAAGACTCGACCCACCTTGACCTCATCGACTTTTTTAAGGCGCTTTAACTGGCGAAGGCGCATGTACTCAGACTTTACCCTCCTTCTCCATTCTAGAAGGCTGCGGGACGGCGTGAGGGTGGGAGGTCTTGGAGTTGATGGGGGCACGCCAGAGCCAGGGGCCGGGGGCGCTGCTTCTTCCATCTTACTTTGAAAGAACAAACATGGGAAGCAAGAAAAACTTGATTTTAAAATCAGGTCTCACTTTAACATTAGATCATTTTCAGTTTACTTGGGACTCCTCAGACTGATGAAGCCCTCCGGATGGAGGGCGAAATGTCTTTACACAAAAAATAATCTGTCCAGAAAACTTGACTTAACCTTGATGGATGTTTTTCACAAAGCTTATTGTGCATGCACCAGGACATCTTGGAATAGATCGACTCCAAAAGTTAACGAGTTGTAAATTTACATTTAATGATTACTTTGAGAGAGGCAGCACGGTGGTGCAACTGGTAGAGCTGCCGCCTCTCAGCGAGCAGGTCCCCGGTTCAAATCCCGGTCCAGGGGCCTTTCTGGGTGGAGTTTGTATGTTCTCTCCGTACATGCGTGGGTTTTCTCCGGGTACTCCAGTTTCCTCCCACAGACCAAAAACATGCATGTTAGGCTGATTGGTAACTCTAAAATGTCTCTAGGTGAGAGAGAATACATGTTTGTCTCCGTGTGTCCCTGTGATGGACTGGAGACCTGTCCAGGGTGTCCCCTGCCCCTCACACAGTGACTGCTGGATATGGGCACCAGCGACCCCCCGTGACCCAAAATGGAAGAAGTGGGTAAAAGATGATGGATGGATTACTTTCATAAAAATATAGATTCTTGTAGATATATTTTGCAAACATGGCAAAGTTTTAAGCAAACGGACTGAGAGTACGTGTTGGGACTGACTCTTAGCTACCACACCAAGTTAGAGCTCGATGTCTGTAAAACTGGACGAGCTATAATGATGTCGTTCCCATTTCAGTTCACTGTGGGAGCCATCTTGAATGGGATCGCCTTCAAAAGATAATAAGATGTAGATGCACATCCAATGATAACTTCCTGACAGTTTCTTTAAAATACATCCACTAATTCAGTAGACATTACGTTTAAAGGCAAACAAACAAAAACCTCTCCATGTAGTGCTCAGCTGCTTGTGCAATAGTTTTAGTGCGGCCTGCAGTGACCTTTAATTAGCACTTGTTTGACTTCAGGGTGACTGATGGATTTCACAATCTCCACTTAAAAACACTCAAAAACACGTTTTTATTTAAGACCGCCGGAACAGCGCCCCCTTCTGTTGGCAAAACAAAACTGACCCCAAATGGAAAAAACATCTTTTCTCATGGATGTTTTTCGGTGGTCGAGGACTTCCTGCTGGTTTTTGTTTTTCCATGAGCTGAGGCTAATAAAAGCAGCGTACAGACAAAGTGGAAGCGCGTGCACATGAATAATTAATGGCTCAACAGCACATTGCTCAGAAGTGGGCGTGTCCCGGCGGAGCAGAAAGTGCGTAGTAATGTTTTTCTGGGTTTTAATCGTCCTACAGAACATTCGCTCCGAGCTTTGAGCCGGAACATTGATCCAAAATGAGCACAGTTACAACCTCACCCTGAAAACTGGAACAGCGCTTCAATATTATTAATAATATTATTAGTAATAATGGGCCAACCAAGTGCTCCACGCCTGCAGCTACGGCGCCCATTTAAACGCTTTAACGTGCGCAGCGAGCCCCTTCACGACACGACGGCGTGCACGTCCACAGTGTCGCAGTTATTAAATACCTTGAAGTCCACGTCCCGTTTGCTGCGACAGAATGAGCCCGCGGTGCGATCGAGTCCTCCCTTCTCTGTTTATTAATATGAATATTATTTGGACGCGGAACAATTTAAGGGCTGGTTCTGCTGCGGCTCTGACGCACAGATCGTGTCCACGCGAGGATGTGTCAGAGAAATCCCCACGTTCTCCACGGGCATGGTGCTGCTGGAGGCTTGTGGTGGAGCTGCGCACTTCCTCGGCTCGGACCAACCCGAGCTCGGGGGGTGACGTCTTTACTATGATGCAGCCTTTCCGAGCGCAGGATTTTACGCGTGTATCCGCGCGTCCTGGGAATAAAACGCGGCGTGGAGCAGCAGCCACAACAGCCATTAGCCGCGCGCACAGGAACTGATGAGACGTGCACGAAGTGTTCGAGTCATCTCCGTGCGCCTGTGCAGGCCCACGAGCTGAGACATCACCGCTGTGGATAAACCAGCGCACACAGCGCAAAATATCATCACTGCACGTGCTGTGGTGCAGAAATAAGAAGAAGAATAACAAGCAACATGCTCACAGAACATGAATATAGCACACGATGACTCAGAATTACAATCATTTTGATAGAAATATTAGTAAATGCATGAAAAGATCAAAGTAAAAGTAAAGATCTTACAGTTCCTAACATTCCGGTGGACGGAAACAGCTGCTGTTCAGCGGTGCTCCTGCAGGGGGCGCCCGACACTCTTTGTCCCTTACATTCACCTGAAATCGACCATCAACTGGTTATAGATTGATTATTAAACGTTGTGATACATTTGTGATATGTGAATATCTCAGCTTGATTGTTGGATGATTAATAAATCTGAATACTTAGAAAAATCTTGTGAAGGTTTAACAAATAATCTCGATAATTTGCACGAATGAACTCCACATTTTTATACAAAAATTATTTTAATCAGCATTTAATGTTTCTCTATGCTTTATTAAACTTTGCACTCTACTTCTGCATAACTACTTTATGTTGTTTGAGCGATTTGTCTATCAAAACCTTTATGCAAGGAGCGCCAGCTTTTGTAACTTTTACATACTTAACTGAATGAACCCCCCTCCAGATCTCATTGATTCAATCTAATCCTTTGAAATCTGCATTATCATAACTCTTTTATATTTGTCTTCTTATGATGCTTTTATAATAATCTTTACCTAATTTTAGCTTCTAGGTAGCCTTTTGACGCGTTCAGCTAAAGTTCTGCTTCCTTTAGCTTTAACAACTCAGTTGAGCTCAGTGTGCATATCTGCTGTGTTTTTGTAACATAATTTCCCCTTTACGTTGTAATTTGTCCCTTTAAGTTTGATCTGTATCAACATATAGTTTTCCTATTTAAAAGCTACAAGTCAGTAGAATATTGAAAAGTCATAAACATTAAATTGATACGAACCTTAAAAACAAAATCTGTAAAACTCATAAATGAAATTACAGCGCGTGTAACGTGTCGGAGCAGATGGTCAGCGTCAACCCTGACAGATCTGGTGACGTAACCTGATTTCACTCTGAACAACATTTCATCCTTTTCACCAAAACTAACCGCAGAGTTTCTTAACAAGGATCAAAGAAAACATCTGGCTATGATAAAGCATTTAAAGAAAACTTTAACAGACTACAGGTTGTTCCGACTCTTTAATAACTAGTCATCACCTGGTGCTGACCGTATCTGTGCGTGAGGTTGTCTGTTAGCAAAATATCACACCAACAACTTTTGTTAAACTTTAAAGAAATAATGACTGAGTTGACATGAAATGATCACGAACACTCTTAGTTTTTTATGTTTGTAAAGTTACACAGTCAAAAATTAACAGCAATGATTTGTTTTATTTAGCCTTTCATAAGAAAAAATGTTTTTTCCAAAGTTAGATTTTCACCATATTATTCATACATTTATACATGTCCTAGTTCCAAAATAAATATTTAATTTACACATAAATATAAATACTTAACTTGCAAGTTAAATATTTAGTTAGCAAGCTAAATATTTAGCTCCATGTGAAATGTTTAGTTTACAACCTAAATGTTTATGTCCAAGCTAAATTTTTAATTTACAAACTAAATATTTAACTAGCAAGCTAAATATTTAGCTCCATGTTAAACGTTTAGTTTACAACCTAAATGTTTATGTCCAAGCTTAATGTTTAATTTACAAACTAAATATTTAACCCGCAAGTTAAATATTTAGTTAATGAACTAGATATTTATGTGTAAATTAAACATTTAATTTCCAAGCTAAATATTTATTTTCAAAACTAAACATTTTATTTCTAAGCTAAACATTTCATTTCTAAACTAAATATTTAATTTGCTAACTAAATATTTACCTTGGAGCTACCTAAATATTTAACTTTCTAGCTAAATATTTAACTTGTAAGTTGAATATTTAGGTCTGAGCTAAATATTTAGTTAGCAAATTAAATATTTATTTTGGAAATTAAATGTTCAGCTTGGAAAATAAATATGTGTGTCGGAGCTAAATATTTAATTAAACATTTAGTTTAGGAATGAAATGTTTAGCTTAGAAATTAAATATTTAGTTTTGAAAGTAAATGTTTAGTTTTGGAAATAAATATTTAATTTACACCTAAATATTTAGTTCATTAACTAAATATTTAATATTTAGTTTGTAAATTAAATATTTAGTCTGTAACTATGATATTTATAAATATATGAATAACAGTAAAAATATGACTTTGAAAAAAAAACCCTTTTGTTTTCTCATGAAAGGCTAAATAAACCAAAATATTGCTGTTAATCTTTGACTGTGTAACTTTACACCCCATAGTTTCTGCTTATTCTTCATACGTTGTATCGTGCAGGATGATTCAGTTCTTCTTAAATGACCCCATTGAAAATGTTTGTATTTTAATCATTAAAAGTAAGATGCATTTTATTAAAAGCATATAAGTGTGAGTGCTTCTCATTGATGCTTAACACGTGGACATTGAAGTTATTTTAGTACAAATAGGCTTGAAATTCCTAAAAGAAGGAAGTCTGCTTTGAATGAGCATTTGTGCTGCTCACTGGAGTGATTTTAGTACAATTGTTTTTGGCTTTATGGAGCTTAAAAATAAAAAAATTAATCCATCTAACATCTCAGATTTACTTGTTGTGTATACTGTTTACTCAGATGTAATTAATAATGTTTTAATTTGAAGAATTCTAATGAAAAATCCATAAAATGATCTTCTTTGACACACAAGATGGCACTGTTCAACTGTTTTCTTTAAACGCAGTGACAGAGTGTGCACCATGCAAGCATTTGATCAACACATGAAAACTTGACACAGAGCCCTGTCAGAATATTTCATTTATTGTGTTTCTGATCTCGTTATGCTCTCTCCTCCATGCTGCTCATATCACACCATCTTGAATGTTTGTCATGCAACAGTATCCGTTTCACTGGACGTGGGGTGTTTGGCACATCAGCAGCGTTTTGTTGATGCTGAACTTGCAAACACGAACCAATCCGCACGGGAACATCAAGTTTAGAGAACGGAGTGCTGGCGGGAAGTTTTCAGTTCTGTTTTAGTGTAAACTCCGTGTGTTGATGCTGGCGCCAGTCGACACGACTCACTTCTTCAGATTTGTTACAAAGTAAACTCTCTGTGACAAAAACATCAAGACAGTTTAAAGTTATTTAAAACTAGAGAAATTGAATTTCCTGCAAAAATGCAGTGTGAAAGCTTGCTGCTAATGAACTTGCTGAAGAAAAACCCAGCTGAAATGAGCTAAAACATGCTGAAATGAGCTAAAACATGCTGAAATGAGCTAAAAACATGCTGAAATGAGCTAAAAAC